TATCACACGCTCTTACTCTCACTCTGGGTGAGCTCTGACCTTCTTGTGTCGAACAAAAAAGTCATCCGGAGTCTCGAAAAGCGCACCTCACGTCAAATCTTCCTCTCGCTGAAGTTCACTCTCCCTCTCTCTTGAGGAGTTTTTGTTTACTTCTTCCATATTCCTGCCGCCTCTCACTCGAGGTGAGGGCTGGCTAAACTCGCAGGACAAGAGTGTTTTAAAACCTCCAGTGAGTTTGCGGAGTTTCAGCAAGCCTGGGTACTCTCCAAGTTGCAGACTCATGGCGAATCGAGCCTAATACGACCACGGAACCATCACTTTGGAACTCCGTTAAAAGGGGCGGCGTAGTCAGTCGATTTCCATTCCATCAGAGGACAGCACATTGGTTCGCAGACGATGAAGAATTCGTGGAAATCAATGACTATTTGCTGGGGAACGGAAGTGCGGCCGATTATGTGCACTGAGATCAGCTACCAAATAATGCCGAATTTATGAGAACAAGGAGTGGATTTTGGTGGCGGTGGCTAGCAAGATCATCAAGGAATGACTTGCCTCTCGTGTGAAATCCATTTTTGATCAAACACTTAAAACCAAAAATAGTCAAAAACCAACTGTCAGACTAAGTATTAGATTCGCAAATATCACACATATTAAAATATTTAATATTTCCACCATGGATTCTAGATGCTCAACAAATCTCACACTAGCGAATCAATCTTCATCTTCATCGCATCTACTTGCATCGCACATCATCTTTTGACAGAAAATCTTCAGAATCGTCATAAATCTTCTTTCTATCTACTCAGCGTGCGCGTAGCTAACCACAGCAAAATGCAACTTTTCCTGCATCGTAGATAGAGTCGTCTCCGGGGGGCCCCCGGGGGGCACGTACTAGTCTTTCAATACTACACAGCCTGCTGACCAAGTATTTAAAATCTTGCCATTACTGCGTTACATACTAAATACACTCTTTATTTCAATAAATACTTTAATTACTCACAAAATTTTATATTTAAATTATTTTCAATATAGTTTAATTATTTGTCATTACCGAAGTTATCGTTAATTATTTGTTAATTACTTTCAATACCGCTGAAAGTATTTAAATCAAAGGGTAGGTCACTCCGCACACCAGTCTTGGGTCATCTTTTTTGTCAGTGTGCCGCAAGTATGTCGATTGTGCCGGTCATAGAGCAAGCTGCGATTGTTTGTAAAATATCTATCCCGGCAACCCGGTATTTCTGACACCTTGAAAGTTTTGGTTTGAAATCACAAGGATAAATCGGATTGAGGATGACGCGGGAAGTGGCGGGTGTGCGAAATTTAGGTGTTTTGTGATCCATAGGGTAATAAAAGCCCTGTGTTTTAGTGTTTTGTAATGCCCTCAAAGCTAGCCTTTCGGCCGGAAAGCGGTGGGGAGCATTGTTGGAGACCGACTTTAGATGGTGATGAATAGACTTCTTTAGTTTGGGGGGAGAGGTAGCTCATCGATTCTTCCGGTTCGCCTCCTAGCATCGTGCTATAAGGTACCAGGCGATAACCAGGGTAGTTGATCGATAGCTCGATGACGTCATTTCGTTGGCGTCTGCAATGGGAAATTCTCATAGCAGACGTTGACGATGGGACGTTGTCGAGTTGTTGAATAGCAACTATCGTGGTAACTCACCGATTACCTGTCGATCTGCCAAATTTGGAAAGACGTCTGCATTGAATTGTCTCATATAATAATATTCCGCCCACTATATCACAAGAAATTGCGAGTAGCTGAGTGGAAAGGAGATAAGTTAAGCATTGGGTACAGGATCAAGTCTCCCCTGGGTGGTGCAAGAAGATGAGCGCAATAGAATCATCAAGTTGCCATAAGGCACGGAATGAGACTATTGCATGGCTGGGTAGTCAAAGTCTTCCATACGTTAGTCATTTCAGGTGGATTAGAACAGGTTTAGGTGGGCGTTGGCCAGATTTGGATTTTTCAGATGTAATCCTGGATAGGACCCTGTCATTGAACGTCGCGTGAAAGTGGAACTTAATGAAGGCCTAAGTACTTTTTCGTAGTTTTTAGTTTTCGGATTTGAAAGATCGTCGGTTACAGTGGCCTGCTTACTGAGCAGAAAAACGCGGTCCAGGTCCTTACATATCAAAGAGATTTATGGTAAAATCGCTTGTGTATCGTGTATTTTGCGAAACTCGTTGTTGTCGTTGGTTCCGGGTTTGAATGGATACACAAATTTGAGCAACGGTATTATGTGATATGAGGGGCTCGGTGGCCTTAGAGCAACCGTTTTTGCTTACTGAGCAGAACATCATGAGTCTAATCTCAGGCCCATCCACATTCAAGATTCGTCAATCGTTTTATTTGTTAATATGACTACATGGTAATAACAGCAACTCGGTGATTAAAAAGGTGCTCGTCTGCCTAGTGGCAAACGTTTTTGCTTACTGAGCAGAAGACCGTGGATTTAGTCCCAAGCTCCTTCGCGTTATATGATCGTTAGGATATCAATTCAGCTTATCGTTTACCAAAACGAACCCTGCTGCAAACCCAACCCTCTTATTCAACATCCCAGTGATTCCTCGTGGAAGTGCAGAGGTGTTCTCGGCTTCCATCAAAGCGAGTGTCATGTCAACACAATCCTTCCCATTCCTTTCTTGACCTGTGTTTGAGCGCGGCCGGCGCTGGTATTGCCTAATTTAAGATCGCCAGTTTTTACACATTGAGGATGATTGCTAGTCCCAAGCATCGTCTATTGGTTCTCTGTGTAATTACAGCTGATCTGGCAGTAACAGAGTAGCAACCGTGGGCGTTCAATCAAGCTCAAGCTCATATGATTTGACGTTTGGGTTGCGTCGTTTGACGTGTTAACGTTCAAATTTAAACGTTTACACATCAAACGACACAAGCCAAACTTCAAATCTTATGTTCCCTACCAGAAACTTAGCCAGATTGTGGCGGCCATAAGCGATCGTAAAATACTGTATTACATTACCAGCTCTGCTCTGAACACACACAATTGCCTTCGAAAAACACAAACGCCCATATTCTCGATTTCGTTCGAACCGTTTGGCCATTCAAACATTTTTTTTTATATGAAAAATACAGTTTGAACGAAAACAAGAATATGGGTGAAAACTTGTTTAGAGTTCATCCCTAGGACATATTCTCTGAAATAACTTGGTGTTAACTATAAAATTCATTCAAAAATTTGTTTAAAATTGCACTGAAAAAAAACTAAAATTTGCTCAATAGTTCTTCAAACACATAGTTTGAACATAGGACACATGGGACAACATAGTTTTGGTATTTTTTTTTCGTGACATTTACTAAACGAAATAGGAAAATTTTCGTGTAGAGAAAGACGGGGTAAGACCTCCACCCTAAGCAATAAATTTAGTAGCTCAAAATGAGCAAGAAATTTCACATTTTGCTATGCTACATATGAATAAGCATTCATTTATCTATGGACAAACATTTTTCTGATTCATCACATTATTTATGCTTTTTCATCAATTTTTGGAACGATCTAAAAATACTCGTTCTTTTACAACCGGGGTAAGAAGGACCACCAATGGGGTAAGACCTCGGGTAAGACGGACCACGACGGATTTTTCGACAACCATTGCACAAAATTGGACACAACAAGCGCCCTATGAATGCTATGGTCACATGGATCATAATTGAATATCTTTGGAATCGGTCAACTGGTTTCACCGGAACAGGTTCCAGTGACCATAAGTCCTGTGAGCACAGATCTAGAAATGATAAAAAACGATACAAACCTATATTGTGACACATAAAATTGCATGAGAATTAGAAAATATGATCAATAGGAGTCATATTGTGTGCCCATTTCTACACCCTGACGTGTTCCGGGTACCCCCGGGGAAGTGGTCAAAGAACTCTAAAAAATTGACATTGGTGGTTACATTGAGTATGGTGGACCACATTGGCCACTCAAGGACATGTTCCGGATACCACCCGGGAGCAAAATAAAATTTATTTTATTGTGGAAATGTAAATTAGTAAGAATGGTCACATCTCACCATAGATGGATGAATCCAGGTTTTTATTCTTGGTTTTAGCTAAGAGAAACCCATCAAAAGTTATATTTTCACATGTTTCATGCATTTTTACATGGGACAACAAACTATGCTGCAAAGGGCAGTGCAGGGGGATGTTAAGGGTAAAATTTTGTCTATGCACCATAGATTCAACATGGCCTCCAATGTTTTTGTTTTGATTACTTTGATCATCAAAAAACCCAAGTAAAATAATTTATTAGAATTCCAATTAAACAGCTTATTTTTCCTCAGTACCCATTTGCCTTGAACAAATATTGAAATCAGGTCGAACCTTCAATTGTTATACCGATATTCCAAAACACATTCCATTGCAACAGTTTTTGGAGTAAACCAACCAGAAAGTGGGTACCTAGGTACCAAAATCAATACCCGCATAAACAATAAACTTTAGAAGAGCCTAACCACCAATTCGGGATATCCTCTCAACTTTATGTGGTATGGTCGTACCATCTATGATATTGTTAGTGTATGGTACCCGTTTATTAGGGTATGTAGTAGATGAGTTATATATATTGAATTTGACAGCCACAGCATCCCCTTGATTGAATGCCGTACCAAGGAAACAAGTTTGTATTTTCAAAAACAGCAAAGAGATCTCAAATGCAAACTTGTCTCCCCGATCGTTTTCTGCCAATGATCAGTTGTTTTTGTAACCTGGCTCGGGTCAAGGTTCGCACGGGCTGAAACTGGGTTCAACCCGAATGATAAACAAATTCGATATTTAGTATAACTTCTTGAACACCCCTCACCCGCGACCCTTCTTTAAATTTTGTACTACGCATATGAACAGCAGATAAGCCAAAATAGCCAACTCAACAGGAATGGCAAAATATTAGCATGGCACAAGGGGGGTGAAGGTGAGGAGGGAGGGATTGGTGACGTGAGGCGTAAGACTGGCAGAAATCAATCAGGCTACTTACCAAATCTCTCTTCAATAGAAGCGCAATTTATTGGGCGATGAAAATTGTGCTCCCTGGTTGGTTACAGCAAAAATAGTGGTCAAGTCTACGCCGAGATCCACGACGGCATTGATGTAAAAAAAAAAAACAAGAGAAAGATACCACCATCATTCGACTGCTTTCACTTCCGATATGGGAATTCCCTCAACCCGCCCCCGGAATCGGGACCTACCTTGTTTTCTCTGGCTCCTGGTTCCTGATGATGCCGCAAACGAGTGGTTCCCTCAGCGGATTGACACGGTTGTTCTCAACAGAAAAAGGCAATTTTTCTTCTTCTACGGACGACGACCGAGGCCGGACGTTTCTCGAAGCGCAAACAACACACGTATCCGAGTCGAAAAGTGATCCACGAAAGAAGTTGCGTTGTACCACACTCGCTGTTTTTTGCTTTGCTGGACGACTGCGCTGCGACGGTGTGGAGACGATTCTTTGACACCTCATCAGTTTTCTGCGCGGCTGGTGGGTTGTCCGCGAAGACGTCAGGTTGTCGTGTTGGCCGGGTTTGATGGGTTCAGATGCAAGAAAATTGTACCGTTGAGAAGGCGTTGCAAGATAGAATGGTGTGCGTCTATGGTTAAACAAACGAAAGGTGAAACACAGTGGAACGAATTTTATAAAAATTTGTTATTTTGGTTTTGTTTAAACAATTTAACATTTTTGTATTGTATTTTGCATTTGCAACTGGCCGTTCGCAATGCTGTTGTATTTTATAAGGACTGTTTCAATTTGAAACTAGAACAGAAACGCACCTCTCGCAATGCTGAGTTGCAGTTTCATTATTCGAGCACTATTTTGCACCAGATTTGCAACTGCTCGAGTATTCTGTTTTATTTCTGAGCGAGTTTGAAACACGAATGGAACTCTGTTTCAAATTTCTTTGTATGTATTTAAAGATGTTTCGAAGAGCTTCACAAAAAAAAACGGAGAACTTCATAGAGAATAGTAAAGTTTATGGAACATGATGATTACAAACATCTTTTAGAACTGTGCGTTGCGCTGATCGTGTTGCAGTTTTATTTTTGACAGTTTCAAATTATAGAATTGTCGAGAAGTTTAAAACAATTTTGAAACTCAGCATTGCGAACGGCCTTACGGAATCGCTAATGAAAGTGCGCTTTTATAATGCATTGTCTGGGTGTCTTCTGCGCACTTATTGCTGATGAACCAAGGAATAAGTACGCTGAAGAAACCAACACGATTTAACTTAAAACGAGACTTAAAAGCGAGGGTTTTTTCAGAAGCTTCTAACGGCGCAGCCCTAATAAAAAAAACATTCCCGAACGATAACCCAAATGATTGAACTATTCCAAAATATATAGAGATGTCTTAGAAAATAATACCGAACTGTAAATCATCATATGTTCCTTGTCCTGCCACAGGACAATCATCCAAAAAATTATTCCACGGTAGACCTTCGAGAGTTTGCCGGATGCTTTTCCACTATCAGCCCTTTCAGCAAATAAAAACTTCCGTAACGCGAGTTACAGCATGGAAAAGTACAGTCAAAAAATATCACTGACTGCAATCCAAAGACATAACCTTGTACATTTTCACGGCAGTAGAAACAAACTAGCACAAGATTCCTGTAAACAAAAACACAATTAGTTTAAAATACTTACAAAAGATTTCAATCAAACGTGCATCCTCCTGTTGCAGCTGCTCCAGAACTTTTTCCATTTTCACTGAATTTTTGCACACGCGAGAAAAAATGCTGAGTTTTTTAGACTCAGCTAAAGTGGACCCTACACGACAGTTTGTATTGACAATAATCGTATTGTCAATACATTTTATATTGACGTCAATACATCGGTATTGACAATATTTCTGTATTCACATCATCAATATTATTGTCAATACTTGTAAGTATTGACAATATTTCTTACCGTGTGGGGTTCGCTTAAGAGAACTGAGTTTTCGGTTAAAATTTCCGTTGCAAAGTTGAGCGCAAGTGGAACGTTTGACGTTTAACACGTTTTAGCGAATATTCGGTTCAGTTTACCGAGTTTCTCTGTTTTCACGTACCGAATTCGTAAATGTCAATACTTTACCGTACTTTTCGGTTCAGCCTTCATTTATATCTGTCAAATTTATACTATTTTAACGACATTCGGGTCTGATTCGATAAATGCATCTGAAAAAAAAATCTTAGAGATGAACTAGCCTAAGGCTAAAAATCTCTTAAATAAAGAATTAAAAAAAAAAAAATCTGAAAAAATGTTTTTAAACCATTTATTCGGTTTCTCGTTGGTAACCGAAGAGGTTGGGTAGAAAATAAAACCGAGTTCGGTATTATTTTCTAAGTGTGAGATAACGTTATAGGAAAGCATGATTCACGCAAATTGTGTTCGTCAGTTAGGAAACAACTAAATCGTTTTTTAATTGTCCATTGCGGGAAAGTAAGAATGGTTTTGAAGGCATTACATTTGTTGCCACCTTGCCGCATGTAATGTTACATGGTTGGAGCTTAAATATGCTATGGATCACCAGCACTGCTGATGTTTTCGGCAGCTTCAAGAACTGGATCGCATTGCAGGGAGTTGCCACAAACGAAGTGACAGACGATGGTTCATGAAAAGGTAAAATGTTCAAGGCTCATATGATAAGTCTATAGATTTTGATGAATAAATTAGATTTGATTTCTAAGGAACTCTACTTAGGAATAATTTCAAGGGGATTTGGAGAAGAATTCTAGATAGAGCTGGAATTAGGGCGTAACAGCTTTTGTAAACAATCACTTATTTTGATGATTTTTAGAAAGTTAAGGCTTGCCAACGCAAATCAATAACACCAACGGGTAGGGGAAGAGTTCCCCTACCTGACGGTTATCACAGAACAGAAGGGGAAGTGCAAACAAATCGGTTAATCAAAAATGGTTCGTTTTTCTGCTCAACAAGCGATGTGTTGTGGTAGCGTTCCACACGGGCTTTCTATGTGCACTCACACTATTATAGCATGCTGCCTATCTTAACTGTAGGCAGAAGATGCCTTCTACCGCTAGGTGCGCTAGTGTTCGCAAATGACAAGTGGAGCCACTTTCTGATCCGAAGTTCCACTCCTGTGCGGTTATATTGGTTTGCGTGGGCGTGCCTTGAGTTTCAAGAAATCATCTGTAGAAGTCATTGTTTACAAAGGCTGTTACGCCCTAATTCCAGCTCTATCTAAAATTCCAATGAAGTTCTGGAAGGGATTGCAAGGAAAACTTCGAATCATTGAATTGCTTTCAAGGTAGTTCTGAGGAACTGCTGATTTCAGATGCAATCTATTAAAGGGAATTCCAACGTAAATTTAAGTTGAATACCAAGGGAATCCTGAATAGGATTCATAAGGAATTTCAAAGGATATTATGAGGATAATTTCATGATGATGATTCTGAGGAGAATTCTATGGCGCGGTTCAAAGAAGAATTCCAAGGCAATTCTGAGGAGAATTTCTGGGAGCAAAAAATAGGAATCCGAAGCCGAGTCCGAAGCATCTTTGGGAATTTTCGGATAATAATTAGAGTATGCACGAGTAGAGGATTACGAATAAATGAGAATAAAAAGAATGCCAGGAGAACCTCAAACCACAGACAAACAGACATAACACATTAAATATTTTTCACTGTAAAACATCGTCGCTAAAACATTACCGCCATCTGTTGAATACACTGTGGTGGGTAGTACGCTGAACAGATGGCGGTAGTGTGTAAACGTCAAACGCAAGGGAATTGACTACACGCAGAGAAATGGTTTTTTAATTCAAATGGATATATTTTTGACTCAGGGCCTAATGTATTTTTGATATTGTTTCAAATATATTATTAGGTTAATTCAAAGAAAAATATTTTTGAATCAACAAACCGGTTGTAGAGTCAATAATCTGTTTGTTGATTCTAAAAAACATTTTGTTGATTCAAAAATATGTTTTGTTGAAATAGTGATACAATATGTTTGAATCAATAACAAAATACATTAGGCCCTGAAACAAAAATCCATTTTTCTGCGTGCCACAGGTGGCGGTGCTACCAACCTCTACCAACTACGATACTTTTAAATGGACCGTTAAATGCATGTTCGATGAACAACTTGCTAGAGTTATGTCTGTTTGTCTGTGGTTTGCCCTGTATTGCCTACAAATTTTTCAAAAATATCTTCTGAAAATTCTCACGGAACTCTTCTTAGCGTTTGCTAAGTATTCTCGAGAAGTTCCCCTTTAACTTTCCTCAGAATTCCTTATGAATTCTGCTATCACCTAGGGCCTCGGAATTTTCTTAAACGTCCCTAATTATTTTCTAGATATTTTCAACGTCAATTCCCTTGGAATTATGTTCGGAATTCCTTGCGAATACTGATATGAATTATTTTGGAAGTATCCACGAAATTTCAATTGAATGCTCATAATTCTCTTTTAGTTGTCCTCCTTTTCTTGGAATTCTACTCAAAACAATCTTAGAATTCCCCCTTCTATTATGATTCTCCTTCTAAGGGATGGTCCATTAATTATGTCACGCAAATTTGGCCCATTTTCAACCCCCCCTCCCCCCTTTGTCACATTTTTTTGTATGGATCTTAATTTTTTTTTTGTATGGCTCGTCACAGTATCCAACCCCCCCCTAAAAGTGTGACATAATTAATGGACGATCCAAGGTTGTTGTGAGTAGAATTCCAAGAAAAGGAGAACAATTAAAAAGGAATTATGAGAATACTTCCAAAATAATTCTCATCAGTATTATCAAGGAATTCTGAGTAGAGTTTCAAGGGAATTCCGAACATAATTCCAAGGGAATTGACGTTGAAAATATCTAGAGAATAATTAGAAAAAATTAAGAAAATTCCGAGGTCCTAGGTTGTACAGGTGATAATGTTTAGATAATTCAAAGGAGAGTTCCGAAGAAAGTTTGAGGAATATTTTAATGAATTCATGCTTCCACTTCGAAAGAATTCTGAGCAAAATTCATAAGGAATTCTGAGGAAAGTTCCACGGAACTTCTCGAGAATGCTTGGCAAACGCTGCGAAGAGTTTCGTGAGAATCTTCAGAAGATATATTTGGGGATTTGTAGACAATACTGGGAATTTGAAGAGATCAAATTCAAAGAGTGTTCTGCAGAGAATTTCTTGAATATGATGGAGCCAAATATTATGGGAATACCAGATAGAGAGAGAAGAGAGATACAATATTAACTGCTGATAAATTCCGAGGTAAATTCTTATTCTAAAGTGGACCCTACACGATTACTTTTATTGACAATAATCGTATTGTCAATACATTCAATATTGACGTCAATACATCGGTATTGACAATATTTCTATATTCACATCATCAATATTATTGTCAATAATTCCCCTTCGCGTCAATATATTGATACGTGTGGGGTTCACTTAAGGAAATTCTTGAGAAAATCTTAAAGACATCCTGTGAAGAGTTCCAAGAGCATCAAAATGGAAAAAAAATCAGAATCCAGGATTCGGAATTTTTTTGAAGTTCTGAGTTTAAATCTATATCTATCTTCTATATATATAAAAATGAATTTCTGTCTGTCTGACCCTTATAGACTCGGAAACAACTGAACCGATTGGCGTGAAAATTTGTATACAGGGGTTTTGGGGCCGTGGAAGGTTCTTATGATGGTTCGATTCCCCTCCCCCTTCTGTAAGGGGGGGGGGCTCCCATACAAATGAAACAGAAATTTCTGCATAACTCGAGAACTAATCAAGCAAATGGAACCAAATTAGGCATGTGGGGGCGAGTGTGGGGGTATAAGGAGATAATCATAGGGGGTAGCCCCTTAGATAATAGGGGGGGGGGGGGGCTACGTACAATATAGCATGCTTTTTTTTTAAATCGGCGCATAAACTCAAGCTAATATTGAATCCCGAGCAAGACCGGGCACACTCAGCTAGTACCTATATATAAATTAATTTCTGTCTGTCTGTCTGACCCTTATAGACTCGGAAACTACTGAACCGATTGGCGTAAAAATTTGTATGCAGGGGTTTTTGGGGCAGGGAAAGGTTCTTATGATGGTTCGAGACCCCTCCCCCATCGGTAAAGGGGGGCTCCCATACAAATGAAATAGAAATTTCTGCATAACTCGAGAACTAATCAAGCAAATGGAACCAAATTTGGCATATGAAGGTCATAGAGGGTAGCCCCTTAGATAAGAGGGGGGGCTACGTACAATATAGCATGTTTTTTTTTTAAATTGGCGCATAAACTCAAGCTAATATTGAATCCAGCAAGGCCGGGCACACTAGTTTTCTATAATTGTTTTATAGATCGTTTGTGGCTCTTAAGTTGTTGTTTTACCCATAATAACAATATATTTTTTTAAATATTTAAACATCTATAAATTTACCTTTGAATTCCTGGAATACTTAGGGAACTTCATTCATCAAAATGAGTAAATACCCTGTATAATCAAAATCGTTACGTTAAATTATCAGAGACTGATTGATAGATGGTAAAAGTTCTGAGTAGGTAGCTTAACTAATGTTTGAAAGTTTGGCACTTTTAAATTGACTGTTAAATGCGTGTTCGATAAACAACTTGCGAGTGTTATGTCTGCTTGTCTGTGTTTTTAGTATATTGTCTACTTCATGTTGGTTTTATAAAAAAAATAACTTATTTTTTCAATGTCCAACAAGTAATACGTTCCATTCCGATTAATCCGTAAGTTTCACAATTTCAGAATGTAACTTCAAGTGTTCAGTAATACAACAACACAAAATTGTAAATTATATTGATCAACCTGCCACTATTCAACCACACCTAACACTTAGTATTTATGAAAAGCTAATTGATCAGAAAATATCCGTAGATGTTTTGCTAAGCCTGCGTTCGTTTAACCGAAGACAACATATGATACGATGTCTTCGATTTGACTTAATAAATTACTAATCCTAAGAACATGTTGACTTTGATGAAAGCAAGAATTTAACTATGTTAGGTCAATTTAAATCACGACTTCCAAAACTAATATACTATTCACCGCAATGTAGACTTTGCAGTTCAAAATATCGAATGTTTCACTTCTATTTTCCTTGCACCGGGTAAAAGGTGTTTGTAAACAATAGTTTCTTTTAAATTACAAAAGAATTATTGAATGCTTTAAATTTAAATAGGTATTGATTGTAGGATTACCAGTTTGGAACTTGACATGAATCTCGATATCAACACAAACTTATGGTATTTAGGAAAACTACTGTATCTTTGTAATTTTCTGCATTTGAGCCTTCCGCATCCAATCGAAGTTTTCCAGAAAACCTCAAAACCAAACAAGACACCAAGTATCACCGGGAAGAACCAGCCAGCGAACACCACAATCCAAAGAATTCCACCAGGGTCAGCATTTCTCCGATGTAAACACAAACACAACTGCCGACTTCCGGTAGTACAATAACTTTCACAAAAGCTTGTATTTGGATTTTCCTTCACTCGTTACAGGGACATACTTTTCCGTAAATTTAACATTACATTTTAATCCGAATGTAGCTCTCGACCAGCGGATTTTAGTTTTCTTTTTCTTCCTCGACACCTCTTACGATCGTGGACGCTCCTTCTTCTCCTTGTACAGGGCTAGCAGGGAAACGTTAGCCACCTTGACTACCTTGAAACGGACTCCGGGAATATCACCGACGGCGTGACCCTTACGACCGAAACCGGCAACCAGGACCTCGTCGTTTTCTTCGATGTAGTTCAGGCAACCATCCCGGGGAACGAAGGCAGTGATTTTTTTGCCGTTCTTGATGAGCTGCACTCGGACGCACTTGCGGATGGCGGAGTTCGGCTGCTTGGCTTCGACGCCGACCTTTTCCAGCACGATTCCCTTGGCGTGGGAGGCTCCGGCGAACGGATTGGACTTCCAGCGGGTGCCCAAATGAGCCTTCTTGTAGTCCTTATCGGCCCACCGCTGGTCCCGGCGGTGACGGATGTGCTTCCGAGCGGTACGGATTCCACGTGGTTTACCCATTCTGTGTAATGGCGTCTGAACCGAACGAACACTTGAATAGAAAAGAGCTCTCTTTGCGGTGACAGCCACTGTCAACCCCGTGATGAATCTGATGGGAAAATGACACAACAAACAGGATTGCCAACCGTATCGAAGTGTCACTTTGACATTTGGAGTGCGTTCAAATATTTTAATATTGCCCGCCTTTTACACGGAAAAGGTTGTCTCATACACGGTGTTTCGCGAAAACCCATTAATGGGTATAAAAACACCCATTTCAGCTAAAAGTGCCCCTCCTCATTTAATGGGTAAACTATGGTTTACTCATTAATGGGTAAATGGGGGATCTGTCAATAAATGGGTGTTTTTTTACCCATCTTCTTGAAATGTGTTTTTCGTAAAATGGGTAAAAAAATACCCATTTCTTCAAATGGAGGATGCTGGTATAAAAAACTTACTTATATTTACATTGAAAATAAATGCAGGTGTAGAAGGTATAATATCATATTGGATAAAACTGTATGGACTTATCCGTAAGCCTCTCCAATGTTTCGGAATCTAACCTTTTTCCGGAGATCGTCCATTTTTGCTAAAAATAAAAGCGGGCAGAAACTGATTGCATTCCCAATGGTCGATGACGGAATGATACGATAAAATTTCCAAGTGTTTTTCACCCATTTTTGGGTAAAAAATATACCCATTATGCATTCGTGAACTGATTCTTTAAATGGGTATTTTTTCACCCATTTTATGATTTCCAAATTTCCCCATTTTTTGACAGCTGCCTACATGGTTTAAAAATGGGTATTTTTTTACATATAAATGGGTTTTCACGAAACGTGTGGGAAAACATTCACACACCAAATTTAAGTCGCTGATAATCAGCTAGATTTTGCAGGTTTTCGATTCAATGAGAGATCAGCAAACTTTCCAGCAAAATAATGCTGCTGATTCTTCCAGTAGTACACAGCAAAAAAAGTTGTTGAATATTACATCGAAACTGCTGCAACCAGGTCAATCCATCGGTTGTGTAATATCACATTGTACGATGTACATCGATTTTGCGAACAAAATTACATCCATTGATGTAATATTGTATCTGCGTTTTGCTATTACATCATTATTTCATACATCAGCTTGAATTACGTTGATCGATATTACATTTTTTTTTGCTGTGTATGAACTTCTGTCAAAATGATAACATTTGGCTGAATATTCAGCAATCTTTTTTCTTGAAAATTCGCATAAACGTGAACCATAACTTGACCTTACCCGAGACCTTACCGAAAATGGTTAAAAATTGTGTATAATTCCTGCTCAAATTTAACTGAAATGGTTATGGAACTTTACATGAACGTTTGTGTGATAAAGTTTTAACCTTTTGTATTATAATGAGAGAGAGAAGGATTAGTAATTTCCATTTAATTCCACTACCATATTTGCTTATCCTTGACTGATACGCGTGTTTCGTCTACAATGTGCAGACTTCTTCAGTGTCTTGTACTTATACTCGACTGAGTCTAGTCGAGTATTAGTACTGTTATGTACAACTCTTTATTGATTAGAATGCTTTTAGAGTGTAACGCACTAACGAACGTGCCCCGATCGCTGTCAAGAAACAGAGCGACAACATAGTAGGAAAAAGATACGATGATCGATACTCGAGAGTCGAGAATAAGAAATAAAACTGAGACTGGGTCAGATTATAGTTTTGGACATCGTAGAAACCAGTTGTATTTTATCTGACGGTCAACCTAAGGAAAAACCCCCCCAGCAAACATAAAAGTGACGACGCAGGATTAAAAGGATTTCGCGGAAATCTCGGCTACACGGATTTGAACTAGGATTTTTGCAACGGATTAGGACACGGATTCCGGACTACTCGAACAGGATAATTAACAGTGAAGGTTTGATCGGGAAAAACATATTTTTCCACGGGTAAAGGTAATCTTTCCGTTCAAGCGCGGTGGAGTAAAACCAAGGTGTTAATTTTCATCGTACGTTTGCTTGCAATATCAAGCCTCTCTCTGTACTGGTACCCGGTCGGCGTGGTTCGTTGGAAAAAAAAACCGGAAGCGAGTCAGACTCGGGATTAAGAACGCTTTTCTACAAGACGCCGAAAAAGTGACACGCCGGAAACAGGAATTGCACATTGATCGATAATCAAACATTCGGTGTGGTGCACGGAAGGCGCAGCTCCCAAAAACCAGCGACGGCGGTAAACCTTTACTGCTGATTACTTTTTGGAGGTAGCGTGAAGCGAAGACTGGTGAGTCAAAAGTTTTGATTCTTTTTATTCTAACCTAATCGAGATACTTTCGATTTTGTTTCCTGTGTTATTTTGGATAATTGATTGGGATTTGTGTCAAATATCAATTGGAACGCTAGTTCATACACATCATATTGCTTGTAATTCTTTTCAAACCTATTCTGTACCAATGGCCGGCCCAAGTATGGCGGTTACTATTGAGCCATACCGGAAAGGTGGTTCATTCGCCGATTGGGTGGAACGATTAGAATATTCTTTTGTGATCAATGATGTGTCTGAGGACAACAAAAAACCTTACTTAATTGCTTTAAGTGGGCCTGTAATTTTCTCCGAACTGCGGCTACTATATCCCCGAGAAAGCTTGACCGCTGTTAAATACCCGGATATGGTAGCTAAGTTGAAGGCTCGTTTAGACAAGACCGAATCAGATTTGGTTCAACGCATGAAGTTCAACTGCAGAATACAACAGCCAGACGAAACGGCTGAGGACTTCGTGCTTTCGTTAAAATTACAAGCAGAATTTTGTTCTTTTGGAGAATTTAAACAAGTGGCAATTAGGGACCGTATTTTGGCTGGGTTGAGAGACACAGCTTTAAGGCAACGATTGCTAAATGAAGAAAGTTTAACTTTGCAGAGCGCTGAAAAACTAATTGCTACATGGGAAATGGCAGGGGAAAATGCTAGAAACCTGGGCTCTAATAATAATTATGGATTAACAGCATCACTTAAGGATCGTAGTCCAAATAACACTGGGAAAAGTTTTGATAAATTGGTAAAAGTATACGATGCGGCTAATCGTAATCGTAGATATGATGGTTTTGAAGAGGGAGAACATTCAAATCGCGGACCAGTCAAAAATCGACTGGGTTATAGGCATCGGGGACAATTTGATTACAAATTCCGCAATAGAGGTCAACAGGATAATGTGCGTACGAGAGACTGGCGTAGAGACGATGGAAGGCAACCTTCGAGATATGCAGACTTGACTTGTGACTTTTGTGGTATCAAAGGTCACATAAAACGAAAGTGCTTCAAACTGAAACATCTAGCGAGGGGAGCAGTGAACCTTTTGGAAACAACACAACCCGAACCTACCGTGGATAGACACCTCAGTGAGCTCCTGGATAGAATGAATACTAAGGATTCGGACAGCGATAGTGATGATGAAGGTAATTATGAATGTAAGCTCGTAACGTCCGTTAACAAGATAAGCAATCCCTGTTTGGTAGATGTGACTATAGAGAATACAACTGTAAAAATGGAAATTGACTGCGGTTCATCGGTGTCAGTCATTAATAAGGATCAATCAAGGGGTAAGTCACTCAGCACAGTGTACCAAAAGAAGATTCGGCACAGCTTGGGCACATCCATCTGCATTCCTTCGGCACAATCTCGTAGGCATTGGATTGTTCATTAAATAAAAATGGGAGCACTGCTAGACTGCTGTTATTGAAGTTGTTCACAACATTACGTGCTGTTTGAATGTGTATTTCAGAAACATACTGTAATTGAATTTTCTAGAGAAACTCAGATTAGCAATTCACATCTCGGTTCACATTTAAATTTGAAATGTAGGCTTCCAAGGGTTGTCAATTGCTATCGATGCCGCTCGCAAGTCTTTCAGCTACTACGCATATGGAGTGTACTAGGAACCGGAATGCAAGAGCAATTTTGATGGATTGAATCATGCAATGGTGGCGGTTGGATACGGAAAACTCAAAGAAGAAGATTCAAGAACTCCTGGTCCAACTACTTGGGAAACGATGGTTATGATTTGATGGCGGTGAAGGGTAGCAACTGTGGCCTTACCACCGATGCGACGTATGTAAATTTGAAGTGAGATTTCGGTTTAAATTTGAGTAGTTTTATTTTCGGATACGTGTCATCTTATACGAGATGAAATAAATGGTTTTCGATTTTTATAATAAAAATAAAAGTTAATTAGGTTGAGTGGAAGCAATAAAAATTCCGTGTGATTGTGCCGTGAAAAGTAGTCGGTCAATTGGTCCGCTACCAAACCAAACTTATTTGAAGAATACCGAACTAATTTTCACGGCACAATCACGCGGAATGTTTATTGCTGCAACTCGACCCAATTAACTTACAATTTTTAAACTGAATTTCACTTGTTCAGGTACTACGATCGAATTCTACCGGAACTCCAACCCAATGGTAAAATCAAACGTCTTCTTGCGCGGAATCATCACCTTCAGCAGTTCCTCTTCCAGATTGAGCAGTAAAATGTAGTGCTTCTGAATCGGTTCCATTCGATTGACCAGCAACGTTCGGACGACATTGGAGTAGTTGGACTTGTAACACGCACCCAGAGCACAAATGATAGATTCAAAGTGCAGATAGTTCTTGTCGCTGAATACACTGAACTTCAAGGTGTAATTGCCACCCGACTGGATATTCGCCAGCTAGCAAATGTCAAACTAGTTGGTATCCACACCAGAGACGTACCTTTTGTCCGTCAGAGCCTGCTCGACACCCTCCGACAGTTTGGCATATTTTACTTATCAGCATCCATAATCTCCATGACGTGATCCTTGAGGTACTTGTTGAATACATCTACCGTTTGATGGTGATAACCTTGGAGTCCTCCTTGGAGGGCATGATGTACGCGATTGGTTCGCTGATGAGCACCGTGTCGAAACTCTTGTCCCTGATGAAGGCTCGCCACCCGGAAAGTTTTCCTTGGATCCCTTAATCACCTCCAGCAGCTTCTCAAAATTGGCCTTGTTTTTGTCGTTCTTTTCCCGAACCAACAGTTTCTCGATCTGCTTCAGGAAATCGGCCTTCTTCTT